TGCGTTTTTACGAACTGGTGTTGGGGCAAGGATCTGTTCGAAGACTAGTGCTGTTTGCAATGCGTACTACGCATTAGGATTTAAGGTGTTTGCCAGTAACTCCGACTCAGGACGCCTGATGCACCACGGCACCTATGACGCGTACTTTCATGTATGTAGCCCAAGTCACCCGTTTTTCGGACAATCAGGGTTGTCGCTGGCGTCTGATATCTATCCTTCCTTCTGCCTTGAAGGTCGCAGTGGCGTGTATGCATGTTTACAGCTGTTGCGACAGTTATATTTGCTATGTAATACAAGGTCCTTAAAGCGTTAAAACGCTACATGTTCGTTACTATTTGTATGTTCGCTGGTGCATATTCATATCCTACAGAGGGTTTGGTCGGTAATATCCATGACCGCCTCCTATCTAACCTTGGTGGACATAAAAGCGCCTATCTTAGAAGTGTGTTTGTTGATAGGTTTACGAGAAGATGTCGTCCCGTCGTGCCTTGGAGTTCAATGTATTGCCCTCGCAAGCTGTAGCACAGCAACTGGGAAATTTTGTAGCTAATCGAGTACCGAAAAACACAAGGAGGGTGGAATTGCAATTTCTGGCGCGCAAGCCATACCAAGTCCCAAGTGTGGGTCGCCTGGAATTCGGTCCCGGAATGTTTGGTCATTGATTCAAATGAGTCATCGCCGCTGTCGCGGGGCCTGCTCGTCTCAGCGTGCCTTGGGGTTCAAAATAGAGCCTTCGCGATCTCGCGTCTTGCAAACTTGGACGGGCTGACGACGGTTGATGAGTCAAGGATTGCCAGCCATAGTCTCCCCTGCCTACGTTGAAGACCTCTTCACCGTTATGAAACGCCTACGAGTATTTGAAACGTTTGGCCACTAGGACGTCAAGTCACAGGGACCAAGTTAGGCTACAAACGGAGACTTAGAAGTCGCAGCCTGTTTGTTCATTTTCATTCAGTTGAGTGCTAGCTAACATGCGTCATGTTATGCCCTTGCACTTTTATCTGGTGTCCCTCCGAGTTTCACGCAGTTATTTCGGGCATTTTTAAATGTGCTTAAACGCACGGCTCATGGTGAGCCTCGTAGCTCAATGGTAGAGCGTTGGCTGCACAAATGCCTTCCCTGTTTTGTGGGTTCGACTTTCACTGGGGCCGAAAACTTTTCACAATTGGGTCAACTGAATTAAGCAAATCTGCCAAACCTGCCTAACCATTTTTACATGTGTCGGTGTGTAGTGACCCAACTCCAACTGCACGCGCACTCGCGGCTGCCAGCAAGTGCGCAATCGCCAGTGCCTGCCTACAGCAATCCAGCCTAGCTACTCACCTCCTTGTGGCTGACTCACATCTGACCGCGCGGCTGACGCCATGATGACTCCCGCGCTCTCGCACTTCGGTCACCAAACCCCTCGTTCGGCTGTCAAATTCCTTCAACCTATTCGCCACGACCTCTGTGAAGAATACACTATTCTTCCCACCTGGAGTACGGAATCGGGCCTGAAGATCGCAGCAGTAAGGGTTGTTCCTCTAATAAAATCAAGCCACTGCGATATAAGTAGGCTGTAACGTACCCGCGTTGCAGTCATCGCCTTCATCCTGCCAGAGGGGACAATTCGGGACGCCGTTGCACACCTGCGTCTTGAGAATGCAATAATTGGCATCACAGGCGGTCCGATTGGCTGCACATTCTAAAAAGGAAGCGTAATGAATTGTACT